TACTTTTTGGACACAGTAGTATATCAATGGATGCAGATATGATTCGTGTGTTTTATGGCACAAGAACTTAATAAATCAGTTAAGGTACGTATTTAAACAATTGTTTATTTAAAATAATTCTATCAAACTTAAATTAAAAATACTGCAGACAAGTTAAAAGGTTAAAATATCACTTAAAAAAATACTATTAAAATTTATAAAGGCGAAATCTTTCTCATAATACTCGACAGCGTCACCAATATTAAAGAAATATTCGGTTGAGATTGATTCTAATTCTGATGACAAAGATAAAGCGTTTTTGTAAGTCATTTGTTAAATATTTTCTACTAAGTAATGTTTCCGTTTGCTATTGTTTCACTTTATCTATTTTAGTTTCTTTTGACCAGTTAAATATTTTTTAAATTTTTTTTTTATCAAACGGTAGTTTTTTTCCTGATAAATTCAGACGTGTTCTGTTTGGAATTTTCAATCGATTAGATTTTAAGAATACCAACAAGTGTAGAGTCAGACATGATGGAAGAAATTTGAGTTGATGTCAAATGGGCAAAAGCAGAAGGTTTAATAGATTTTGGTTATTGATGGTAATGTTGCCGCAGCTTTTAAGCAGAGGGCAAAATAGTTTTGTGATATATCAGTCTGGACTGAAATGGAACATGTTAGCTTAACCATTGCACTATTTATTGTTTGTTCTTTGTTATATTAGCATTTGACGAGATGTAATCAGTAAGGATACTACCTTTCTTGCTACAAAATAACATAAGTTACGACTTATTTTTATTTCTTTCTTGCATTTTTCATCTATTTCTTAAGTTTTTTTCTTTGCTAGGCTTTTTGAGTTTGATGAAGGAGTTTCTCGGCATTTGATCTTTTTTTTTTAATTCTGATTTATAATCTGAGTAGGAGTGACTGACAAATGGAAAATTTTAATAGATCGTTGTTTCGCGACTAGCATTCTAGCGTAGCGTTTTCAGTTGAAATACATGAGTGGGTTTGGAGTATAAGGTCTTAAATGGTAGTTGAGGTATGCAGAATTTGGTTTATGTAAAGCAGCAGAGCCAAAAAAAAAAATCAAATCAAATCTTTAAAATCAAATACTTTGTTTGAATTATGTCGAATCCCTTTTTAATGCTATTTAATGAACAGAATAAACAGTCAAATCACGAAGTTCGTTGGAAATTTCTTTTTCAGTGGCCTGCATTAAGATATAATATCTCAACGAAAATTTAATGACTCATGTGCTTGGATATTATTTTCATAGTGGAGAAATTTTGATTCTAATAAAAAGGCATTTGTCTGGGATAATGAGCAAGTTTCAATCAAAAGGTCAACTGATTTTAATTTCTTAACAATTTTAAGGTCTCCCTTAATGCTATGTAAATCTATTAACGCGAAACTGTAATTAAATTCTTTTCAAGAGATTATATTATAAAAAACTTTGCAAATGTTGAGAATCATTCGCATTCCTTTTTTGCTGATGTTACATACTAAGGCTGCTGGGAAGGAAACAAATGAATCTGGCTAAGACCAATTTAGGCCATCGCCAAGGCACCAAAATGTAGAAAGAGAAGAACAAATATTTTGTATTCTATATATAGGATCCCAACAAGAGGAAGCAGATTCTTGCAATAACGCCAGCAAGGATTTATACAATCAAGACAACTCACATAAACGGCCTCCTGCCTTAGCGAGATGTTAAGGAAGTGACCCATCGTTTGTATCCTAAGCAGATTCAACCATGAAGGTTGATAATTATTCGTTCGATTGGTAAAACTGGAAACTAAACGTACCACCCGTCTATCAGAAACGGAGGCCTAAGAAACTTGTTTGTCAACATAGCTGCAACTTAAAGGGGTGCCAATCCCCTTTTCCTGGGACATGGCTTGCCACGCATGACAAACACATAGGTCAGAACTTATATTAGAATATATAGAACTTATATTTTTAGAGGAAACAAAACTATATGAAGTATACATAAATACGTATAACATATGCGTATGAACATAAATACGATATAACTTCTGGGAGAAAAACAAAAACAAAAAATTCCAAAAGCATGAAAAGAATGAGATATAACAAGCAAGATGTAAAATATAAGGTCTGTAGTTTTGACAGAAAAGAAAAAGAAAAGGACGTATTCAAAGATAACTGAGTTGCCTGGATATAGCGATACTCGTACTCATCTAAACGAGATGAGCTTCTGAGGAGATAAACACACACACGTATTTATATATATATATATAATTGCTGTGAGTTTTCTTAAATTCAATTCAGAAGAATCTATTATAAAAAAAGTTTCTGCTGCTGTCAAACGCACACTGCATATTGCATTATAAGAAAAACATTAAGAAGCAATATTTCTATGTTTTCTCATCGAATAAGGGATGACTTAAAACCGTCAATTAATTTATATGTAAGTTATTTTTAATTTATTTCGAACCACCTGCTATAATTTGATCGCAATTTCTTAATTTAACGACCCGGCTTATCAAGTTCTTACGACGCACAAAAAAAAAAAAAAAAAAAAAAAAAAAAAAAAAATAAGAAAGAAGAAGAAGAAGAAGAAGAAAAAAAAAATCTCTTAAACCCCTATACACAGACGTTTCTTTAAAAGTTTTTTTTTCCCTCCCTTAACTCCCAGTAGGAAGGGAAAAAAAAGTAATTAGCGATTTTTTTTCCCTGCCTCTCTCTCTCTATAAACCTCCCTCCTGCCCTGAAAAATAAGGTTAAATCTCAAAAAGAGACAGGAAAAAAAAAAAGGAAAAAAAGGAGAGAGGGGAAGAATTCCAGCCATAAATTATCTTTCTCTCTCTAAGATTTTCCTCTTTAGCTCAGGCAGGAAGTACATTTTATCTCAGAGCAAAATTTTAACCCCGTTTTCTTTTAACGCTCTCTTACCACCCACACACCCCCTTCTTTTAAGTCCCTCTATTATTAACAAATCAATATCCTTCTTGAAAGTGTACCGACCTCTATATACCACCCCCCATCCCCCAGTTTTCTTTTCGAGATAGCGCCAAAAGTCCACCTTGAGTTTTAACCAACTGGTGCAGCCTTTTAATCTTAAGGTAAATCTCCATTAAATATAAATTAGGTTGTCAGCTGCTGGTGACTGTTCCCTTCCCTGGCAGCGATACAACGAGGAAATATCACAGAAACGTTGCAGTTAGGTTGGAGGGTTACCGAAGCTTACGTTTTCGTAATAACTGCCTGCCTTTCCAGAAGCACTACCATTAAGATCGGTGCTTTTCGAAAAGGATAGGTAGGGGGTAGGGGTGGGGCGCTTATTACAAAAGTTCTGAAGCCTGTGCTGCAAAGTCTTTGGAGTAAAGTGAGAGATATGAGGGCGATATTATCTTTCTTACTCCAGGGTGGGATTAGGGATATCAGTTTACCTGAGTAAAGACAGTGCCATGGTGGAGAATGATTTGCGCAGATGGATACGTTCGAGCGCTTTGTTATGAAAAAGGCGATTATGTCGAAATTGGATCTTAATTGATAGAAATGTAGGTTACCCCTTATATATAAGAACCTTCTTTTTTTGAACGGAGAAATCCTTTTTTTAGAGATATATTTCTGTATTGATATGTGATTTTTTTTATAGATAACGTTTTGGTACTAACTATTAACATAATGCTTGGAATCTGAAAGTTAATTTCTGGAAAAAAAAATGAAGATAGGAAACGTTGTTTAAAGGACGTAAACTTGCTTTTACATCAGCTTAAAGATAACAGGCATCAGGTTTGGCTTGTCACTCTACAGTAATTTTTTATACATTTTAGGATAATTAGACCGGAACCTATAGTATAACATGCATTCCGAACCACTAACAAACCTCCATGCTGCCGCCAGGATTCAAACCTGAAGCCTATGGTACCAAAGGCCAGGACGCTAACTAATTGGCCTTCAGGTCGCAGTAGGCATTAAGTTTTGCTTGACGCTCTACGTCACATCACTAACAAACCCCTATGCCATAGCCAGGATTCGAACCTGAAGTCTGTAGTGTCAAAGGCCAGAGCGCTATCCAATTGGCATCAGCAGCGCAATCATTGAAAGCTTTCTACAAGCAGAAACAAAACATTTTAATTTATAATATTTTTACGTTATGAACAGAAAGTTTATTTTGTCCTAACAAAGGTAAAAATTCTTTTGATATCAAAGAAGATAATTATTATGAGTTTACTGGAGGTTCTTTAATTTACCAATAAATTGTAAATTTGATTTTAACTTGTTCACTTTTTATTTGTTCACATTTTCATACTTTTGGATGAAATTGTGTTTATATTTTACATGCTTCATTCATATTTGAATATCACATTGCTGCTATTACCACTCTCTAATTGTAAAGATTGTACTTATATTAAGTTCATAAGGCTATTAGCTTTCAGAAAGAGGCTCAGATTACTCATGGAGGGAAAACTGTCATTTAAGTTTACTTGTTTGGGAAGAATTTGATTGTTTAGGGCTTAATTTTCTAAAAATCGAACAATATTTACCGTTCTATGCCTATTTCAGACATTTGCCCTGTAGAAAATTTGATGATTGAAAATTGCCTTAGCTCCGCCACCTTTGAAAATAATAGTTTTGCGAAAGTGAACGTTCTGATAATATTTGCAAACTAGAAAAAACAATTAAGCTTTCTGAATAGTATTTCTTAAATAAAAATGTAGGAGTTAGAAAATAAAGCATCATGAATCTTCTTATCTGATGTCCCATTGAGAAAGGGGTCCTTGAAAAAGGATGCCGTTGGTGGAAAGAAAAAAATCAAATCAAAAGAATTTATTGGTAGGTCAATTGGCATATGATGACTGTTTTCATATCCATCTAAAGCCAGCCAGCCAGCAAGCAAGCATCGATAAATTTTCTTTCGACTTACAAGTACTCTAAGTGATATGGGACAAATTTTAGCTTTCGGAACAATATTTCTCAAAGAAAAATGTAAGACTGAGTCAGTAGATTTAAATTATGCCCTTCTTATCAAATGAAGATCCGATTACATGCCAACGGCCGTACCATACTGAATATACCGGATAGTTAATGTTATATATAATAATTATACCGTTAGATCACCGAAGTTAAGCATCATTGGGCGCGGTCAGTACTTGGGTGGGTGACCACCTGGGAACACTGCGTGCCGTTGGCAAATTTGGGACCTGAATGGCCGAGTGTCTAGCGCTCTGGCGCTCGGTGCCACAGGTTTCGGGTTCGAATCCCGGCGGTGCCATGGATGTTTGTAGTGGTTCGGAATCCACTTTAAGCCGTAGGTCCCGGTCTCCTATGACTGTAAGAGCGTCACGGCGCAAAAGTCAGGCTTCTACCTACGGGTGCTCCATCACAACAGAAGCTGCTTCCTTCCCCTTCAATCATGAGTCCATATGGGCTCGTGGGCTTGGCCAGCCAAGTGGGATAAGAAACAACAACAACAACAGATCCGATTACAATAATGAAGCTGGAGTAGATTGATTGGTTAAACAACCTATTACAATATCTATATACAAATCAATTCCCATTTCTGATATCTTTGTACAAACTGTAGAGCAGCTTATTTAATGTAATTTTCAATAAGAATGATCGCTTATTAATGCCATAAATTATCTTCTAGGCTATCAACATTTTTCTCAAAATATTTGTATTAATAGTGATATATTCACATATTTTAATAATACATTGAACAATAATCTCCAATAATACGTTCACATATTATGATTCTTCTTCATTGGCGCAACAGCCCCATGGTGAACCAATGCCCTCTACCTACTGGTAGATTTAGAGACAAGTAATGTTCTTCCTTTTCACGAGGTAATACCAATTCGTGTTAGAGTTCGAGAATTAGAATTCGGGAGTATTCGAGAGTCCGACAGTATAAGAAAGAGAAAAGACAGTATTCGAGAGTATTTTTAACGATATAGAGTTCGCCAATTAGGGTACGCTACGCCCGAAGCCATGTTAGACTGGGACCTACGGTTTAAAGTGGATTCCGAACCACTACAAATACCGAATCTGAAACCTATGGCACCAAGCGCCAGAACATATTGTGATTAGTGACGTTATTCTTTAATGTGATCTTTCTAAGCTTTTATGTTGATCTATAATTAGATTGGTTCCAATTTGTACTTTTTACTATAATTTTAGTTTTATTCTGTTCAATTGACTGATAGATCTGCCACGATAGATACTACGAAATTCATTTATCAACGATTAGCAGATGCATCTTTTTCAATAAAAGGGCTCAAAATGGATGGAATCGAGCAGAAAAACCTTCTGCATAATCACATGCACGCGAAGACACGTGCGTTATTAATTCATTACAAAAACATTAATTCACTGCAATAAATTCATATTACTTCATTGCAAATACATATCTGAACACATACATTAAAAGTCAAAATGCAAGGATATTAAAACATGCAAATATTTATTTTTTTCATAATATCTAACAGATTCTTGTACAATTTTGTTAGTACTAATAAATTTTACAAATATATTTTTTTACAGGAAGAATACATTTTAAAATTTTCAATTCAGAATAAGAAAAATCCAAACAGAATGAGAAACGTAACACTATAAGAATTTTTTTTAAAAAGAAAAATATTGAAATAAATATAATACATCTTTTAAATTATAAGAGGCAAATACATTGGTAAACATAGTATTATAAAAATTTCTAAAAAAGATATCATTTTATTCCCAATTTATTGAAAAAATAACCACACCTTTTTTGCAAACATTAAACTGTACTTTATTTAAAGAAGTAAATCTTATAATTAATTGTATTTAAAAACTAGGAAAATAAAATTCTCTTTTTAGCTCAGTTTCTGGAAATTCAATCACAATGTGCTGGAATTGATAAAACCTTTTTACTTAAAACTACACGCGAAATAAGTTGTTGAAATATTCTTCTAATCTCAGCAATTTGCGCGGGGCTGTTTTCACAAAGCGTCCATCTGTGCCGACACACATACTGTACACCGAGAGTTGATAAAAAGAAAAGAAACACCGCCCTGAATATTAATTCGCGAACATTGTATTTAAAATTTTCTCCATCACTTGGGGAAAACTTCTTTGTTGGAATTATTTACTTAGCGTAATCGCTAAAGGATGCACTTTTACAGAAAACTATTTCTTCACCCCCGTCCAAGTCGACAAAAGAATATTCTTAAATTCGCGTCCTCTTATTATAATTCGTCTTTCGGAAGGAAGATGGATCAACAAAAATAATGAAACCCGATGCCAAAGAGAGAGAACTTTGTTTGAGGGACGTGTAAATGTATAAATTTTTGAAATATTCCGAGATCTTCCAGAGGGCTCAAATAATCCAACCGAAAAGAAATCTCAATCTCTTCCTATAATCCTCAACTACATTTAAGACGGTATGATTCGTTTATTTTAGGGAGAAGAAGAGAAAACTTGGAGATATTGCCTCTGTCTCTCCCTCTCCTTTTCTCCCAAATCTTCTCCCGAAATTCTTCTGCCTATATATCCTTTCCCTCCCCCCCTCTCCGTTTTAGTTGTTTTTCTTTAATCAGCCCTCGTGCCTGGCGGCGCTAAATTCATCACTAAGCTGTCCTCTATCTAAGGTTCATACATAACTTAAGGCAGAGGCATTACGGGGAAAAGGACTAAATAAATAAATAAAAGTAACAAGAACTCAGTGTATGCTTAATTATAGCAACAGGACCCTAAAGCAGAAGATAAAACAAAGGACGCAATGGCGGAGAGTGGGTGGAAGAATCTTATTATTTTTTTCTTCCTCTCTCTCTTCTAAAAGATTTAAAACTCTAATCTTTCTTAGGAGAAGAATCAGAAGACTTTCCACCTTCCTTTGTCTTCCCCTCCACCCCCTGAAAAAAAAAAAGAAAACTCGTCCAAAAGAGAAGAACTTTCTTTGCGTGGTGACACTCCTACCCCTTCACTAATACCACATTTTCATTGTACACACACAGACGATGTAGAACTTTTACTTCCACTTACTCATCTCGTTCCTACAAGTCCTAAGGTTTTAAGGGGATGGAAGAAAAGGGGTGGTGTTCTAGAGTTCCACCCTCCCCTTCCCCAACCCCCTTTTCGGGCTTGGGTGATTGCATCCACCGATACGAAATTGGTTTCGGTAATCTCTTTTGAAATCGGATTTTGACTAAGAATTTAAATGGAAAATCACGGAAAGGAATGGGAATAGGAATACCCATGAGTGTAGCTGGCATCTAATTGGGTCGCGACATTTTCTTGAGTCTTCCCCCCCCCTGCCTTCTTCGAGGATCGTCTGCGTGGTTCCACCTCATCTGTGTCTCAGCCCGTATCTGCGTCGCTAATCTGAAGCGATTTGTGTTTGCAAATGATTGAAGACATCGCATAAGACGTACACACAGAGGCAACCTAGCTGGAAGATATGTTTATGCCCGATTCGAGTTGTTTTCCGAAAGAGGATTTGTCTAGCTGATGAAAATAGAAGCAGATTTTAATAGTTGGATTTATTTATCAATTCTTTTGTACCGTCTCTCGGATGGAAATGAAACCGTCTCCAAGAAGTGTGTTCTTTTAAGGGAAAAGAGAAATTATAAATGGATTTATGTGTTTTTTTCCTCTCCCCACCTTTATTTATGTTTTTTTGCTCGTCTCAAGTGAATGAAATATAGATATTTTGCGAATCGATGAATCTGAATGATATTTTAACTTGAGATTTAAATGCTCGCACATTTTCAGGATCTAAAACACATTTTCATGCATGCACATTTTCAGGATCAAAATCACATTTTCATTTCTTTCAAAAAAAAAAAAAAAAATCTGTGATAAATCAGCTAAATTATGAAATTGTCTGTTCTCATTGATATAAATAACATTTGATTAATTCCTATTTGAAATATTTTTATTGGTGTTGCGATTTTGAGTAAAACTCGCTTTGGAAAACAATAAAAAATTATATTTTGAATTTATACAGAGAAAATTTCACATAGTAATCATTAAAATAAAAATAATATATTTTCATTCTACAATTTTGTGGTCTGATGGCCGAGTGGCTAGCGCTCTGACGCTTGGTACCACAGGTTTAGGGTTCAAATCCCGGCGGCCCATGAAGGTCTGTAGTGGTTAGGAATCCATATTAAACAGTAACCGGTCTAATAGGATCGTAGAGCGTTGCGGGCGTATTGTTACTCCGCGTCCATAGCATATCTTCAAGTTACACGTGAGTAACAGCTACGGCACAGCCCTTACTTATGGCATAAAGATTAACTGTCTCTATATCGCCAGCTGAATTACAACAAAAATTTCTTTCAGAAAGAAAAAATCTATGATAAATTCGAATCTATTTTAATTTATATATTAAAATTTTTTTAAATATCTAGGAATTAGTTTGATTAAATTATTACATTTTTGTTCTCATTTCCGTAAATAAAATTTGATTAATACCCACTTGAAATATTTTTATTGACGTTGAAATTTCAAGTAAAATTTGCATTGGAAAATAAAAAATATTTTTTGAACACAATTTATAGAGATAAGATTTCACATGATAATCATTAAAATAAAAAATTTTAATACCTTTTTATTCAAATTTTTATACTTTTTCATTTAAATGAAAAAAATTCTGATTACTACTAATAGAAATTTTTATTCAAAATAATATTACAGTTACAATTTTATCAATTAATATACTATTTAGCAATGAATCAATATTAATACAAGCTTGCTATAGCTGCAAATCTGCTAGAAGAGCACGTTTTTCCATCAATTGTATTTGATCAAAAGGCCATCCAGTTTCCTCTCAAACAAAAAATAGTGTTCCCTGTCCAATAACTGAATAATAGAAGTTCTTATGAAAGCAGCCAGAAGTTTTGCCATTAGTGCTGAAAAGCTTCGTCACGTTGCCAACGGAATCATATAAATTTGTCCCAACAAATAATGACTCATTGCCATGTGATTGGAACACGAAATACATTTCGTTCGGGCTTAACCCTTTGGTCCCTCCTCCCCAAAATACAATGGTCAAACTCATTCCAGAAGGGGTTCAGGTACAATGGTGGGCATCAAAATTCAGTTTGCTCCTTCACTGACCAATCGATAATTGCTTTAGAACTGCAATCACGGTTTTATTATCAGATGTGGGAATCAAGGGTTTGTTCGTAGACCAAATGTGCATTGCCC